GGAGATTGATTATGAATACAGTGGTCTTGAGTGTTGTTAGAGGTATGAGGGCAGTTATCACTTCCCGGTTGCCCACACCGTGGAAGGATTCTTCTAGAGGTACCTGAAAAGGAAATTGGGTTAGAAGTGGTCTTAATGACCTGAGAGCGTGACCGCAGTGCCCAAGGGACAACTGCTTGAGGTCGGTCACACACGACCTTTTTGTGGGTTGTTTTTGTGTTAGCTCCGTTCTTTAAAAAAAAAACCTTACCGCCGGAGACGGATATCCGTGGGATAAGGCGAGGTGTGCATTTTTAGGGTCGACCTTTTCTAACCCCACCCCTCCTTGTGGGAAGGCAGCATCGCTGTCATGCTGGTTGTCTGAAGGAAACACCTTACTGCTTTCACACCTCTGTACAGTCAGCAGTACGACTTCGCCTTCGGACCTTGGGTTTGCTGCTTTTAGTCTCACCGCTCTTCAACCGACCTGTCTGGCATGGTAGGACCTCGAGGAACGATTGTTCCAGCCAGCATAGCTCGATTGGATCATCACGATAGGCAAGCCCGACCACCACGTCAAGGTAGCAGCAACGGTCGGGTGAACGTTAAGTGAAACTTAATTGAAGGTAATTTTACTATTTTAATGAAAATTTAGTGCTTTCATGGGACCATTTATTCATCAATTTCGTAACAACAAATCAGATTACAATTTACTTTTAATAGACATCGGCATTGGCCAACACATCATTACAGTTTCTGGATTTCTTTTGCATTTAAAAATTACGTTTGTAGTAAAAGTGATAATACCAAACCAAAACAGCACAACGAAATGAAATTGACATGAATAGTAAAAGAGTGATGACAATTTTAGTGAAAGTGATAATGAAAAGAAGTGCTAACTGAGAACACATTTTGAAAAGACAAAATTAAGATGAATATATGTAGGAGTATTGGATATCGAGATCCATGGTAAGATAAGAAGTAAATGCATCCGAGCAACTACTACTGATTCTGGGCCATGTCACGGATTGTCTCTAACTACTGGTCGTGGTTATCTCATGAAACCAATCAAGTAGTCTTCATCTAGAAACATTGTCCGATCAACAGCTAGTGATATTATGGACTGATGCTAGGTTTTGGCATGCCTGCTACTATGCTTCTTCTAGCTCACTTTAATATCGTAGTTGAAATAATGGCCAGTTCTACTGGAGAACGTTCGGCGAGGACAGGCAAATTTCAAAGTTGTAAGAGCAAATAATAATATAAAAAGAGAGAGAATAGTATTCATAAATATTTAAACATCCTTAGATTGTTGATGGATTCAAGCCGTTCCATTGCAAATTAATCCAGCTGACGAGTCCCGAATGGACCGAAACACATTTTCTAGACTCTTCTCCGAACCATATTCTACTGGTTTATTTATAAACATCATTTACCGCCACTATTAATTCCATTTATAAGAAAAGTGACACATTTTTACCTGAGCGAATCAAAAAACACTGTACTGAATCAAATGATAACTGCTGGACATGTTAGAATTGACAAATGTTTACAAAAGTAATGAACGATGAAATGACCGAACGTCAGATTAATACTACTACTCCTACTACCACTAATAAAACTACTGAGTTTATCAAAAATATTATAAGACAGGCAATGAACTAGACCTGATTTCCCCATATAAGTTTGAATTAAATAAGTAGGTGTGAAGCGAACGAGAAATCAGATGAGGAGAACCAATTTATTGTTCAATGAGAAACTACAGAGTTCATTCATAAAATGTGGAGACCATACATTAAATATTTTATTTGGAAATCTTCAGCCATTTGTCTTTTATATCTTTTATGATTATTTCAATTCTTAATTCCTTTATGTTTCATTTTCTGCCTGTTGACATCAGTAGCATACACCATAGATGGATAGATAGATAAGCAAACATTAAACATTTGCCTAATTCTTTTTTCTACAACAGATACTGGTAAATTTTCATTGCTTAATGTTGAAAACTAGTTTGTCAATTCTTTTTTGTTCTTTTCAAAAGTAAAGAAACTGAATAAAAAACGATCGTGACTACAAATATGTCAAGGAAAATAAAATATCAGAATGGGTTGTGGAGATTGTTAAGTTTTTGATTGAGATCGTGAATCGATCGATGTGTAACCACCAGTGAAAAATCTCGAAGCACTGGGTGACCATTTCATCCTAGTACGGGACTCATCAGCAGTGCACATTCACGATCCCACACTTGGGATTTGAACCCAGGACCTTCGGACTCGTGAGCGAACGCCTAGCCTCTGGACTACTGAGCCGGCATCTAATGGCGTTATTATCTAACTTTGATCAATCTACGAAACTGTGCGACCATCGTCCATTGGCTGAAGTTTATATCTGTCTCTACCCGACACAGATTAGCTCTCCTGGTCAAGGCGTTCCCGCTCGAGACCGTAGGTTTTGGATTTAAATCCCGAGCATGGGATCGTGGATGCGCACTGCTGCTTAGTCACATACTAGGATAGAATGTTCATCCAGTGCTCCCAGGTTTCTCACTGGTGGTTTCACATCGGTCGATCTCAATCAAGAAAAGAAAAAGTAGAATTAACATTTACCATTAACAGACTTTGAAAGTATTTGAATGTCGTCATAAGTCTCATAATCTCTCACCAAAATATAAATAATATCTCTATTTTGAGCATTAAATTTTTTTGTTTATTGTAACGAATTAAATTTTCGGAATTTAGAATAACACATGGATTAATTGTAAATGATGGTAAGTTTGAAAAATACGGATGAAAATTTGCATGTTAATCGAAATTTAAGTGAAGAATTCTATTATTACGTTACGATAAGTGAAAAAATGAAACTAGTATAAGTCTTTGTGTGTGTGTGGTTGGCTACGGTACGTGTACACTTTTGTAGTAGGAAGTTACAATTACGTATGTTCATGTTGCTCATTGATAATATTTGATCTATTACTTCGAGATATATAATTTAACACTGGATGCCAGGTCAGTTATTTTGTGGTTAACCCTTCTGTAAGCAATTGTATGATGTAGTGGCTCACTGTCTTGTCATCTCGTACAAGAACGAAACATCTGTCCATTGATTTGACCCTTTTAATAGTTATCTAACTCAGAGCCCTTATGATCTAAACAAACTGTCTTTATATTCTTTATTATATATATATATATATATATATATATATATATATATATTAAGTTCACTTTTACATATGTTTGTATACACAGTTTGTAATTATTTAACTATGGACTCTTTATTTCGCATTGACAGTATGTGACCACAGCCTTGAAGGAAACTCTGCCTACTTCTGAATTAGAATACTTGTCACACAATGTTGCAGTGAAAGACGTTACTATGGAGCCATTCGATCAGTAAATGACTTTTACTAGGATCGAAATGTTTTCACGAATAGACCTATCAGTGGAGGCCAATGTCTTGTTTATTTAGTCCACATTGTTTATTGATTTTTACTGATCATATTAACATAATTATGTCTATTAGGCGATCCAACACTGTGACCTTTGTTGTATTATGATTATGGGCACTTTAACAAATCAATTAGGCATACCTTAATGTGATTTGCTGTATGGATTATAACAGTAGAATACATCGACTTATAGTTTTAGTCATTTTTTCACAGAACATATTAGTATATGTCGAATGAGCATACAAAGATATGTTAGTTGTTGTGTAGATTACATCACTCACTTAGTGATCCGATTAACAATAATAAAGAAAAAAACTTTCATTACTATTTTATTCTTTTAACTCAAATGTTGTTTATTACTGAATTTGAGTCAAGAAATAGATGATTAACTATAAACATTCATGAAGATGCTTTGACTACAAAGTTAAACAAAGTGAAAATATTTGTTCGAAATAAGCTATTTTGCATGAATTCGATGTAATCGGTAAATATGCTGATGAGCTGATGAGCTAATATTTAAACAACTGAAAGATAAGCCATTAATTGTTGTTTAATTTCTAATTTACGTACTAGGATATATTTCACTGAACAACCACTGAAAACGAGAAGGCAATCTAAATAATTAAGGCTTAAAACTCATGGTTTTAATCCCCAGTAGGGTTGAAGATCCGTCCTACTGACAAAATACTTTTACAGTGCTTCGTGAGTTCGTGATTTGAGTTTTAAATTACGCTTTAAACAAATCAGAATAATTTCAGCAGGTTGTCAACAACATAATAAATATTAAAGAGATTATAAAATCCTAATAATAGGTCATTTACGTGGAATGGTGCTTTGGAAATTAGGGCTTTAACTAGTTTTTATTTGACATCTATTACGGTACTGAAACTTTCAAATTGTAGCTAACAGTGGAGTTCTGAATGCACGTTTCCTTTTCACACAATACTTGTCTGCTGTATGTACTTGCTTCCGAAAGTCAATGGTCCCAATAAAATTCAAATCTAAGAAAATTTTTTTCTAACATCAACTTGATGTTCACTTGATGTCCAGATAGACACTATTATGTTCAACGCGTATAAATTGTGTAAAATTTCGTTTTTAAACTAATTGGGTGGAAGAGCAATAAACGAAACTCAGAAAACATTCATTATTGTTTCACATAACTTTATTTGTAAAGTTCACTTACTTCTTTCATGAAACTTTATAAATTTATTGTATAGAATAGCTAAGGATCAACATAATATCCGTCGATCATATGAATTAATGACCTTTTATTTTTCCGTGTAAATCATGTTATTCAATATAAAATTTTGACCAATATTTTCAAATATCAAGATGAAAAATTCGAGAGGTTTTTCATTCAAAAAAGAAAAAAATATATATTTAAATCAATAATAAAGTTTATTCCGATAAAGTGGAAGCTCAAATTGACAATAAATTTATAGTCACGAAAAACTGGTTATATAATTTCCCTTATTTTAATAATGACCCTAATTAAAAAAATGTTAATTGACGGTAGATTTTCATTACAGATAAACTTTATATTTTTTAGCTATTAATTTTCAATTTATTTTAAATGAATACAATCTATACTACTTTTCGGGTAAATATGTCATATACATTTAATAAAATAAAACAATAAAGGTGGCAGCTTCATTTGCAACTTTATTAATTGAATTGTAATGAATACCCCCTATAACTGAGAGAATTTAAGTTGCTGAATTGGGGTTTATAATTTGAAGATCATTCAGAAGGACGATGAAAACTCTACGACCATACCATCCAGCTCACAGAACAAAACTCCATCAAAATCTGTAACTAGTATTAAGGAAATAATGTGATCAATTTAGTTTACAAGTGATGAAAATTGATTGTTTCAAAATAAGGTGCAAAAATGAATTTTGATTAACCTAAACTTTTTCAAGTTTTTAGTCAAAATAAAAGGCCAGATTTAAAGGCAAGTATTTTTTAATAAAAATACTCTAGTTCAGTTATGTGTTTCTAGGTTAGCCTAACTCCATAAACTTAATATAATCTGATCATTTGTAGGTTACGAGAATTCTAACAGACAACAGCAATATATATATGTGCATTAAGATCATCCGTGCTTTGCGTTTTTTTACTTCTCCCCCTCCCCAAAAAAAAACCTTTTGAATCTTGAGATACTTGATATTGTCCTGATGTTTTGCTTACAATAACGGTACTACAACGGTTATATTGTTTCATGACTTTATATCATTTCAGATTAACTTTACTAATAATCTATCTCTCTAATTTAAATCAGTTCACTTATTTGATCATTTGTGAATATACAATTTTAATTAGTATTTCGATATTGCATAACAGGCATTCAAACACTGAGTGGAGACTGACGTTTTACTCCACTTTTTTTGCTTCATAAAATTAAGTGTTTATCAATGATAATTTTATGGTTGAAATCATGAGTCAATTGAAGTTAGACCACAATGAAACACCTGGAAGCACTGGACGGCCGTTTCATTGATTGGTTGAAATTAGACATTAACACCGGCTAAGTGGTCTGGAGGTTAAGCGCTCGCGCGCGTCCTGGGTTCGAATCTCACGGGGTGGGATCGTGGATGCGCACTGTTGAGGAGTCCCACAATAGGACTAAACGGTCGTCCAGTGCTTCCAGTTTTCCATGGTGGTCTAAATTTAATTGACTTAGGCATTTATCTAAAATACTTAAACTTTCTTAAAGTGACTTTTGCATTGAAGTTTCCAACTTAAAGACTTATTAAAGAAAAATGTGTGATGGTAGATAAGAGAAATATATGGAAAACAGGCGGTAGTTATGAATCAGATGTTTCTTTTTAATCACCAGTGAACAACATGCAGAAATGTCTATAATAATGCAGGATAAATTTCAATCTTGAACTTTACAACTATAGTACAACGGTAATTTATGCGAGAAAAATTCACCTTATTAATCACATGCTGGTTCACGTTTCTAATAATGCAATTTCCTTTTGATTATAAAAACAGCTTTAATCTTGTTAGGAATGAATTCAACTTCCCACTAGTTTATTTACTGTAATAGTCTATTCATCATAAGGACAAGGATTATTTAAATTAAAATCTTGAAATTTTCTGTTGTTAGTTTACGTTGATATCTGTTTTCATAGTATTAATAGTGATATAAAAGGAGCTCAGAATATATATATCTTCATTTTTTAAGGGATTACTTTGAATTTCGACCTTCAACATTGTAACATTTTAAATAAAGCCTTACAAATGATAATGGTTATCATTCGTTACTGAGAACGTAATCATTATAGAATAACACCGTTGGATGCCGACTCAGTCGTCCTAGAGGTTAAGCATTCGTGCGTGAGACTGATATGTCCTGGGTTCGAATCTCGTCAGGCGGGATCGTGGATGCGCATTGCTCAGGAGTCCCACGATTGGACTAAACGGTCGTCCAGTACTTCCACGCTTTTCATAGTGGTCTCGATTCAACTGACTCATGATCACAACTATTGAAACAGAATAAATCGTTTATTATTGTAAGTCCATTTATCTAAAAAGACGAATAATTAATTCATTTGTATTCTGTTGATCCTATTTCAAATTCAGTGAATAGTTGATAGATGTTGTAAATTATAAAATACTTTGTATAGGATTTAATACTCTAGATACATATATATGTATGTTGAGTAGTTAAATCATTTGATAATTTCTATTAACATAGAAACCGAAATACAATATCCTGTATAGTTAAGGTATATAAGATTGATAAATTAGAAAAAGAGGCTAAAAATGAATAAGTTTGTGTATAATCTGTTGAGAAAACACATTTTTCAATGTTATCTTAATGATCTAGGTCATATTAATTAATTTTACGTTAGCTCAACTTATATATACAGTTGACTTTTTTGGAGCCAAAAAGTTTTTACGGATAATTACATAACGTACTATGTTTCTTTTGATATACTTAATGAATTGTAAGCATAGTTTAAATCGATATACTTTCAAAGTTTATAATACACTAATTAGATAACTACTAATGATGGTCTTTTAAACGATCCAGACGACTATTATGTGTTTGGTACAATATTGAATAAATCATTATATTTATCATCTAAAATAAGGTATTTACGAGTTAAACATTTGAGATCAAGTTGGCTAACAACAGAATTTAGAATAAACTACAGCTGAGGTTCACGCTAGTTGACACTTAACATCAACGCATATCTATAATCTTTAATAGAATCACCCTATTAAAAACAATTTGAACCTGTATCATTCAGTTATTCAGATGATAATAAACAGTAAATAAACTCCATTGCACCCACTACTCAGTAATTAAACTTTGTTATTACATCCCCTTTTCTAACTACTGAACACTGAATTCACTTAGTATTACTTGTTTGAATCTCTGCATTGATGTTTAGGATTTCAATTAATCAGTTTCTTGTTGGCGTATGTGCATACTGTGAGTTGTGCCTCAATATAACCTTAATTGACAAGCATTATAAGGAGAGATGGATAGTGGCTAGCAGTGGAATTTAGGACGCGCGTTTCACCCTATTTAGAACTGGTCATTTGAATGTACCTGCTTCTCAGAGATGTTCACTCTGGGACTCGGACCCAGTACCATTCGCTTCAAACATCATCGCGTTATCCATTTATCTACTGAGTCCTGATAGCTACTTGCTTGTACAATGGGGTGATGTTTGAATTCATTTGGTATTGTTTGTTCGAATGTTCCGATTGATGTTTAGCAATGCAATTGATCAGTGTGTTATTGGCATATATGCATTGTGTGCGTCACAAGCAGTATAAGAAGAAATAGATAGTGACTAGCAGTGGAATGGACACCCACTTCATCCTATTTGTGACGGGTCAGCTAGATGTACCTGCATCTGAGAGTTGATGTTCACTCTGGGACAATTCCTAAAAAGGACGAAACGCGCGTCCTGGATTCCACTGCTAACCACTATCCATTGTCAAAACTTTGTTTGTGCATCTGTAGAAAACTTAATCGAAACTAGCTGATTTCTAACACAAAACTATAACTATTTTTGTTTTGTATATTTGGAATTTAATACAAAATTAGATCATTGAATATACGTGAAAATTAAAAAGTGACTAGACAATGTAATGAAAACACTAATGTATCAAATAAATAATAAATTCATTACAACCAAATACAATAAACTATGTAACCTATAGATGTTCTATTTAACGTTAGATTACAATTTTTTATAACGTAATATGATCTCACAGTTACACATGTTTATAGTTAACGTAGTTTTCACTATTTGTAACTTGTACTTATGAACATATGAATATTCATCTTGGTTTCTTTTCTGAATATTTTGCACTGACATGTATGTATAAGAAGTCAAAGAACTTTATAATCACAGTCCAAGGATAAAACCAAACATTTGTGTATACATTTTAAAGGAACTAAAAAAGGAGCACTGTCTTAGTCCAAAACAACCCTTTAGTACTTTCAGGATTTTCAACAATAGTCTAGTTTAGAACAGTTCATAGTTTTTAATTATGAAATATATTTTGCTTATAAAGCTTGGGACTTCAAGCAATATCAAGGCAGTCCACAAACCATGCACATATGCCAATAACACACTGATCAATTGCAGTGCTAAACAACAATCGGAACATTCGAATAAACAATACCAAATGAATTCAAACTTCACCCCATTGTACAAGCAAGTAGCTATCAGGACTCAGTAGATAAGTTGATAACGCGATGATGTTTGAAGCGAATGGTACTGGATTCGAGTACCAAAGTGAACATCAACTCTGAGAAGCAGGTACATTCAGTTGACGAGTCCCATATAGGACCAAATGTGCGTCCTAGATTCCACTGCTAGCCAATATCAATTTTTGCTTATAAAGCTTGTGACTTCAGGCAATATGGAGGCAGGCTGCATAGGATGCACATATGCCAACAAGAGCGGGGAGTGTCTGCTTTCTCTCTCGAAATGCTCTCTCATGGCTACGCGAATATATAGCCTCTGATAGGGAAGTCCTACTCACTGCCTTCTCGTGGCATTACTGTTTTTACGAAATTGAGAGGACGAAAAGCGAATGTCCAGCGCTTTAGCCCGGGTTGGTGGACACAGCGAGTCCACCTAGGGGAGTTCGAAAACCCTGATTCTAAACCAATGGTGCACATGGACTCCAGTGTCCTGAGAGAACAAATAGCGTATGAATCAGTCGTTGGTCACCAGCTACCATGGGACTGCATCTCCCCACAATGCTCTACTGCCTTTAGATCGAACGCTCGGGGTATGGCCCTTTAAGAAAACCACCTGCTTCGGTCTGGGCACCTGGGCAGTATTACAGCACTCACACAAATCAAATGAGATTTGTGAGGCGCATATTTATCTGGTGTTTTTTGTACCAATATTTATGTGTTTAAATAAATAAATAAAATAATGCCAATAAGAGACTGATCAGTTGCAGACGTAAATAACAATTTGAAGATACAAGTAAACAACACCAAGTGCAATATATTATGTCCAAATAATGAAGTAAAATGATAAAAAGAGATATTTATTTCACATTAAATAAAAAAATTAATATTTCCATTAAACCTTATTATACAGAGATGATGATGATGATGATGATGATGATGATGATGATGATGATGATGATGATGATGATGATGATGATGATGATGATGATGATGATGATGATGATGATGATGATGATGATGATGATGATGATGATGATGATGATGATGATGATGATGATGATGATGATGATATTTCTATCAATTCTAAGTCTTCTAAAAATAAGTCATTCTATCGTTGATATGCTAAACATCTCATTATTTATTTCAGCTGTACTTTATACCGTTTTAACGTATAAGTTTGAATTTTGATGAATGCTGAGGAAGATTTAAAACTGAGGTAAATGTTTACAGTTATATCGACTTGTTTGAGATAGAAAATCTATTTATGGAGTTTTCATTTTATTTCTGAATAACATTTTTGAGGCTTACTTGGTATAAATGTGAGCTATTTAGTTTTCACAGAAACTGTTTCAACATTTAGATCTGATGGACTGATTTGTTTATTATTGTATTCAACTTAAGTGCTATGTTTGGTTAACTTCTCACCATGTAGTTGGTTGAGCCCTATGCATATGAATTGATAGATTAGTTCTAATTACATATGTCTATCGATTGCCCATTAATTTGAATACCATCTTTCGAGAAGATATCTGATATTTTTATAAGTTTCATCTATTCGAAATTTCAACATTTTCCCAGTTCAGTTCATGTCCGTCCCCGTCCATGTACATTGGTATCAGTGATAATAGATCATCCTTTATTCTACACACAAACATAATTTGTACGTAAAAGTACAATTTTTCTGCAAACATACAACTCTGATAGACTTCTTTGAAATAATGACTTCTTCAAGAGGTTTGTATTATCACTTTTTCTTATTTATAATAACATTTTATTTCCTTGGCACTATTTTATTGCAATTGGAACACAAAAATGTCAATAACATTAAGACGCTTATCATTACTATTATTTATGCATTACATGAGAAAATGGAAGGCTACTGCCATAATTAAGTACTTGTTAAGACTCACTGTATGAAGAAAACAACAAAGTCAGTCATGCATAAGATCTGTATGAAAACGCGAAATTAAGATCAGATATCTCTTTTCAACAAATTTGTTATTAACCTGGGCAATCGTATAATTGTAATTCTTGTGATAATAACATTTTAAACATTCTACTCCATTCACCCTATAATCCAATGTTAGATTATTAAGTTTGCTCACACTGTATTATTCACTCATCCGAGAAAAATCATTCAACCATTTATTTTATCTCTGTACACCATAAAACATATGACAATCTTTCTGTTACGTAATGTTTGCTTATTTTTTTGATTCGTTACAAAGTTAAAACTTAAAACTTCATACATATGTATTCGATGATAAGTTGACTATGAAGGGATTATTTCACTAAATGCCCTGTTTTAAATGGGAATAATAATACGTACTTGTTGTATGTTAGATATTCAACGATATTATATTTCGAAAGCATTTTATGAAGAAAAAACAACGGTGTATGCACAAACAAACTGTTCGTTGGAATTGTAGAATCATTTGTAAATACAGTTTATTAGGATATATTTTAAGCCATCGCATAAAATTCGTAATTCATGAACTGAAGATATGTGAATCATGTGATAAGTTTTACTGTAAACATTCAAATAAAATATTTTTTGGTGGAGTTTTATTTCGAAGTTTATGCTGATGATGTCGTTCAGAATAACGATGAAAGCTCCACGACCAAACCATCCAACTCAGCGAACAAAACTCCATCAAAATCATCCACCTGAGCTAAAGATCTTCTCCACTATACAAATTACTTATAAGAATTCGTATAACTTTTCAGTCATTCGTTTTTTTCTTGAACGAAAACTAATAATATTCTCCGATTAGTCAAACAGATAATAAAATGGATTACATTATTATTATTATTATGATTATTATTATTATTATTTGAACACGAATATTGGTACAAGAAACACCAGATATATATGCGCAAGACAAAAAATTGTCATTTCATTTAATTGTGTGAGAGCTATGATACTGCCCGGGCGCCCAGACCGAAGCAGGTGGTTTTCTTAAAGGGCCATACCCCGAGCGTTCGACCTAAAGGCAGTAGAGCATTGTGGGGAGATGCAGTCCCATGGTAGCTGGTGACCAACGACTGATTCATACGCTATTTGTTCTCTCAGGACACTGGAGTCCATGTGCACCATTGGTTTAGAATCAGGGTTTTCGAACTCCCCTAGGTGGACTCGCTGTGTCCACCAACCCGGGCTAAAGCGCTGGACATTCGCTTTTCGTCCTCTCAATTTCGTAAACAACAGTAATGCCACGAGAAGGCAGTGAGCAGGACTTCCCTTGCAGAGGTTGTATACGCGTGGCCGTGTGAGAGCATTTCGAACGACAGGGTAAGCCCTCCCCACTCTCGGCCGTATCAGGGCATTTGGGGGCAGACTACATAGGAAACCTGAATAGTTTCCTTCCTTACTTTACGAATATTGTTTTGAACTATTATTTGATTGTATCAGAAAGATATTTTCAATAATGGATTTAAGAAGGAATAAAGTCTTCTTTGCTGTTCAAAAGTCAAATAATTATTTACACTATGTTATAGGATTGAATACGCATTGTTTCATATGTCACGAGATTTTTCACTACAACAAAAAATATAAATGAATTTCCATTTTGAATAAGATTAAACAGGATGATACTGAATATGAATTCTCAATGATTATTATTACCAAAATAAGATCTAAGCTACTTAACAAATAGAACAAGGACATTCACCGATGCTTAAAATATACATAAATAGACTCGAACAGTGAGAATTTTTTTCTTCTATGCACCCATTTATTAAAGCGGTACTCTTGTACTTATATCTATTTTACATAGAGGAACCTTTGACAAAATTGAAGTTTGTTGTATGGTTAAAAAGATTATTTACTATAAATCACGAATATTCTTTCAGATTTCGGACAAAAGTTCCGCGATAATTAATGGGTTATAAGGAGATAAAATAAGAATATGTACTATAAAGAAAATATGGAAAAAAGGACAAGTCAGAAAAATGATCAAATTACAAAATGAGAAAAAGGATCTAGTGCCATGGTAAAATAAATCACTAAACATACTGCTTCTGATTACCATTACAACTTGGATAACGATGGGAGGTGATATCATTGATAAGAAAATAGAGTTCGCTGAACTATCACAGACAGATCCAAGTTAGACAACCTCCGGAAGTCCTAGACACAGTTTCATCGCACTAGTACGGAACTCTATTGCGGTGCACATTGATAACTTCACTGATGATCGAACTCAGGACATTTAATCTGTTGGAACCCTAACCTTCAGACAATCGAAGTGGCACTCAATAAGTGATGTGTTCGCTCTCAAATTTACATCAGATAGTCACCCGCTATCGATTACCTCGATTACACAAGAAATAAAGCATATGATAATAAAATATGGAATGTAATCGTCGTAAAAATTATTATCTAATAAAATTTAGTCAGATATGATAAAAACAATTATTTTCAACAATCTGTAAACATGAAATCCAGGACGCGCGTTTCGTCCTATTTGGGACTCGTCAGCTGGATGTACCTGCATCTCAGAGTTGATGTTCACTCTGGGACTCGAACCCAGTACCCTCGCTTCAAATGCCATCGCGTTATCCACTCGGCCACTGAGTCCTGATAGCCACTTGCTTGTGCGATGGGGTGAAGTTTGAATTCACTTAGTATTGTTTGTTTGGATCTTACCATCGCACAAGCAAGTGGCTATCAGGACTCAGTGGCCGAGTGGATAACGCGATGGCATTTGAAGCGAGGGTACTGGGTTCGAATCCCAGAGTGAACATCAACTCTGAGATCCAGATACATCCAGCTGACGAGTCCCAAATAGGACGAAACGCGCATCCTGGATTCCACTGCTAGCCACTATCCATCTCTGCTTACCATGCTTGTGAATTAAGGTATATCGAGGCAATACGCACAGTATGCACATATGCCAATTAGAGACTGACCAGTTGCAGTCCTAAACACATCGATGGGAAGATCCAAACAAACAATACTAAGTGAATTCAATCTGTAAACATGTTAGTATCCAGTAACTGGAATATGAATGACAGTGGAATCCAGGACACATGTTTCGTCTAGTAACGTTCATGTTAAACGTCATCGCGTTATTCAACTAGTAAATCAAATCAGATAGTCACTCTAGTGCTCAGTGGGTCTGAGTTTTACTTGGATTGGAAATTGTACTCATAATTTGTTGAAATTTTCAAAAATTATAATATTGGTTATCTGTAAATAGAGTCTTTTACAATTAAACTTTATTTCCATAACTAAATCTTATTTTACTGACTAATTTTTAATGTTTCGATCGAATTCTAAATGCCGAAAGTAAATCACAATGTATCATTTATATTCTTAATTATAAAAGAAAGTTTATACAATCTTTGGAATCATAGTTTATTGTTAACATTAAATTAGCTAAGTATTACAACGATCATTGGTGAAAAAGCTTTCTAATTGTTATATCTAGAGCTTTGATTTTTGTTATGCCGCGTACATCTGGACTACTTGAACGGTTGAATCCGCAACGTCGCAAGAGAGAAGACAGAAGACTAGTCAGTAGGAATTTTATTCCCAAAACAGTGACAAATATTGTACAAAAATCTCATGTATTTATAGTTTTTTGGCTGAAAGTAAATAATCATTTTGGATAGCCGATAGGCACATAGAGGATCCTTTTTATTCAACTAATAGAAGAACTACACGTCGACATTCTAGTATGTTCCCTTAGCGGTGATTGGATGGAATGTCTTTGGCTCTTTTTGGGCTTCTTGAGGCTTCCTTGAGTTTGCCAACGAGCCATCCTAACACTAATACCACACTTTAGAGAGTGCTTTTATAAAACTATTTACGCGTTTTACTTTTTGTGAAAATTTGACCACGTTTATAGGTATCAATGTCAAGGTTTAACTTAATAGTTTCAAATGAATTGAGTATTGGGTAGAAAGTTGTTAATAAATATATTCTTGTTATATTTCAATGAAAAGTTGTATTAAGGACTTTTCATGACTTAATGTTAAACAATCCTTTAAACACATTACTTCATATTACATATGCATACATTTTTCATACCCACACTCTGACACACAATTTAATATAGTGATAGGTCATACAAATTCACCTTGACCAAGAATAACTTGACATTGATATATTCAG